AGGGAAGAGGGGCTCACATGACCTTTTGTGGGTGTGTGGCTGAAGGAGGCTCAAATACATGGAATTTCCTCTGGATCCTTGCTCCCTCTGCCTGTCTGCTGTGGGGGAAGAGTTAGTGCTCTGGTCTCTACCATAAACTAGTGACTTCTGAAGTGGACTGCTCTCATCTTCAGTACATTATATTGCAGGATACATGAAACCCGTTGGAGTCATTTATCTGCAGTGAAGATATCCTTGCCTACTGTAACCTCTGTATCTCACTCCCTCTTTCCTCTCCTCTTCCTTAAGAGCATTGAGAAGTTGAGGGACTCAGGGTCTGCCTCAGGCTCAGTTGTCTGCCCTTCACTCTATGCCAATGCTGTGATGCTGCTCTTGCTGGATGTGGTCAAGGGAGAACTTTTGGGCAGGGTTTCTGATCTATACACTGTTCACATTTCAGGCTGGATAATTATTTTGTTATGTGGCACTGTCCTGTTTTCCTTACATTGTACATGCTGGTCCCTCTGCCGTTTTGTTTTTGTTTTGTTTGATTTGTTTGTTTGCTTAACTTTATGGATTTATTTATTTTAATTTGACCAGAGAGGTACAGAGTGAGAAAGAGTCAGCCACCAGGTCCACAATTTGAATCATGGTTGACTACGTGGGAGTCCAGCACACTTAACCACCATACCACTTGCCAGCCTCCCCCGCCCTCCCCCCCCTTCCCCGCTGTTTTATTTCCATTTCCTCCTTATCCTTACCTACCTAGAAAACTGCAACTTTTCCATTAGGTGTGGACTTTCACTATCAATTTTCTTGGGAATCATTTTCTAACTCCTTCAGGAAGTCTTGGGTACTCCCTCTCCAGTGTTCTTTTGCTTCATTATAACTGTGGCTGAAATACGTTTAAATTGTTTGTATATCTTTTCAACTATGTGTCAATGGCATCTGATAAATAATCTATGCTCAATGAATGGTTATTGAATGAATATATATATACTCATTGAAGGTATGAATCAAACATATAACTTAGATCCTGGTTGAGAAAAGCAGTATGTTAAAACCTGTGTGAATTTTTTATGTTGTGGTTCAAGACAGCAGATGGCCCCCAGTCTCTCTTGAAATAACTCTCTTAAAAGAAATTATACAGGTAAGAAAAACGACATATTCACAAAGAGGATAGGAGCAGTTAAGTAGCAGGTGAGATTTAAACAATTTTTTTTTGAGAGGTTTTTGCTATAGGGTGTGTACGCTTGCCAGAAAGCCAAAGACAGAGAGAGACAGAGAGACAGAAAGCGAAAAATCCCCCCCCCTCCCCCAGCGGGGATGGCCACAGCACAATCCCCTCTCCTCTATTCTCCTCTTGGGATCTTGGGCACGCACACGTGCCCGGCGTGAGTTTTAAGCCACTAGGTTCGGGACTCGAACTGCGGTCGACTACATGGGAGTCCAGCATCATAGCCATTACGCCAACTGCTGGTCCCTAAACAATATTTTTTAAAGAATTATTTTCTTTAACTTCATTTATCTATTTATTTATTTATTTTAATTTGACCAGAGAGGGACAGAGTGAGTGAGAGAGAGAGAGAGAGAAAGTCAGAAAGCAAACTGCCAGGTCCAGAACTCAAATTGCAGTTGGCCATGTGGGAGTCTAGTGCCCTTAACCACCATGCCACCTGCTGGGCCCCTCAATAAATTTTTTTTGAATGGAAGACAATAAGCAGACATGATAGCATGCTGTTGGATGAAATAGGCAGGTAATATTTGGTCCAAATGTTTCAAAGTGCTACTCAATGGTTTGAGGAGGAAACATCTGCATCAATAAATCAATGCATCTGCATCCACCAGTATCCTGCACCATTTCCTTCACATGAAACAAAAGTCTCTACTCTTAGACTAAGAACATGATGGCTATCCTCTGGGAACACTGAAAAAATTATCTGATAATAACTAAGGCTTCTAGTGTAGATGTTAGGCATTTCTGTGCCCCAGAAAAATTTTCCTATCTTGATATTTAGGAGGCCACAATCTAATATCCAACTAGTGCCTTCTTGTCCTAAAATGGAGTTTACCATCAGCCCACCTGCCTTGCCATACCATACACAGAGTCCCCAGTTTACATTCTCATTCAGAGGAGAGACTTGGTATGAAAACATACCTGAAAACAGAGAAAATTTATACTGTTTTGCAGACTTTTCTAAAATGTAAATAGACAACCAGGTAGTAGTACCAGGCACGTGACTACAACCAGCACGATAGAAGAGAAGCACTGAGTGAGCTAATAAAACAAAAAGCAAGCAGTAACAAAAATGACCCCTGGAAGAAACAGGGAAAAAAGTCAGGGAATTGAAAAAGTATTTTATTATATATCAGAAATATCTGAAAAGGCATTTTTACTTATAAGACAAGAACCTTTGTGATTAAAAATCAAATATAAAATAGGAAACAGAGTAATCTTTCAGAACAGGAAAGACCACAATACAAAAAAAAAAAATTCTTTTAAAAAGGAGAAAAAGAAGAGATGCACAATATTAATGTAAAATATACAATATCCAAGTAATAGTAATCCCTGAAAGAAAGAACAGGGACAACAGAAATTAAGAGTCACTGGGAACCAGCAGTTAGTGTAATGGCTATGTCGCTGGACTCCCACGTAGTTGACCGCGTCCCAGACCCGGTGGCTTAGAACTCACGCAGGGCACGTGTGCGTGCGTGCCCAAGATCCCGAGAGGAGAGGAGAATGGAGGTGAAGGGATTGCAGCATGACCATCCCCCCTGGGGGGTGATTTCTCGCTTTCTGTCTCTCTGTCTCTCTCTGGCTGTCTGGCGAGCGCACGTGCCCTATAGCGCAAACCTCTCTCAAAAAAAAAAAAAAAAAGAAATTAAGGGTCAGTGAAATAATAGAAAATTTTTGGATACTGTAAAGGTCATGAGTTTTTAAAACACCAAGAACAAAAGGGAAATCCTAAAAGTTTCTGGCAGAAGGTGGGGGTGATGAGAGAGAAGTTAACTAGAGGAATAAGAATCAAACTGGCATTCAATTTTTCAATAGCCAAGTTCAGTTGAAAAATTATTTTCAACCTGGAATTCTATAGTCAGCTAAACTAGATTAAGATAAGAGCAAAGCACAACTACTTTCAGGAATGCAAGGACTCAGAATATTTCTCAATCTTCTTCAAGAATTTACTGAATAATGTATTTCAGCAAAATAAGAAAATAAACTTAGTAAGAGAAAAACAGAAAACAGTATACGTGCCAGTATACCAAGGAAGAAATAGCTGAGGATAACTGTGTTGCAGGCTTGAGAAGCATCCTGTCCAGACAAACTGGTATCATTTCCAGGCTCCAAACACACATATCCAACAACCAGCTGTACAACTCCATCTAATACACCACAGATATCTGAAACTCAACTGATTTCATACTTCCCTTTCCTAGAAACTGCCTTCTTTCCTGTGTTATCTGTCCCAGTTGATGATCCCACCGTTATCAAGTCACATAAGCAATAAACAGGAATTTTCTTAGAAATACCCTTTTTGCTTTCCACATCCAGAAGGCCTTTAAGTCCCATCAGTTATACTTTTGATTTTCTCTCCTTACTTTTTTGCCATTCTCCTAGTTCACACCCTCCTTATCTCTCACCCAGACTGAATGCAATTGCATCTTACCTAGTTTTCCTCTTCCTAACCTTATTTATTTTTCTCACTGCCTCAGAGTTGTCTTTCTAAAACATATACCTGATCATGTCAGTCTTCTGCTTAAAACTATTTAATGATTGACTCTTCAGTCAGTTGAGAGGCACTAGGAAGGAAAAAAGAGGTCTCCTAAAGAAGTAGGGTTGGATGTACACTGTGCACCATGCAGAGAAGTTTGGACTCTAGTGGCTAATGGGGTCATGGAACTCTATTTCTTTTTAAGTTTATTTATTTTTCCATGAGAGAGATAGCGAGAGACAGACAGTCAAACAGACAGAAAAGCACCTCAACAGAGTCTTCATGCTGTGATCCACCCCCAGCCTCAGCCAGCCCAGATCACCTTCATGCTCTCTCTGGTGTGTACAGAGAGACCTTACAACACCAACTTAGCTTCCCTCTATGACTTTAGCATTGCAGTGTTGTATGACCACTGTGTCACTGCAACTGGCCATGAAATCTATTTCTAAGCAGCCCCGAGTGTTTCTGGTTTCTGAGGATAGCAGTACCTTAAGGTTGTCTAGCCCAATCACCTTGCCACTTCTTAGTATTCCCTATACACCCAGACAAGGAGCCCCCATCCTGTGCTTTAATGCCATGTATGAAACAAAACTCACAACTTTTGCGAGAACTTACTTCAACTCTGTGTTGCTCTTTTTAGCATGTTATATTTACAGGGTTCATAAATTTGTATCTTCAGTTTGTGTTCTCACTTCTGGATCTAACACTTCATTTACCTACTAAATATTTCCACATGGATATCCCAAAGGCATGTCAACCTCAACATACCTATGGCAGAACTCATTTAATTTCTCCTCCTACATTTCATTTTTACCTTTTGCCCATATACCCAAGACAAAGATGTCACTGTCAACATCTGCTTTTTCTTTTGTGACTTAGTATAGTTAGTGATCACTGTCTAGGAAATTAGAAAACTTTTAAAATTTATATGCTTTTGGGGCCAGCCTCAGCTGATAAGTGCTGTACATAAAAAGCTGGATTCCACATGGCAGATGGCAGTTTAAATCCTGGCCCCAGCAGCCTGAAAAACACTCTGGTGGCATGTGGCATATGCCCAGTGTCCTTGCAGGATGGAGAAATGGAGGAAAGGGATCATGGTGTGAGCATGCCCCATTTGGGGGGGGGTGCTTTCTCTCTGTCTCTCTCTCTCTGGTGAGTACATGTGCCCTCTGGCAAAAACAAAAAAAATTATGTGCTTTCTCTGATATTGATAATTGGCATTAAGTTGCCTTTATAAAATCATGTCAAACAGGAGTTCATACTATCCTCCAAAACTAATCAGAATGAATCTATTTTTAAAGAAGATTAATTTTAAAAAGTCAAGATGAGTACAATAAAGAATATTAGGTAGAAGTTCTGATATGTTTATCAAATACAATATATGATCCCAATCATAATAATTTAACTATTCAGCTCTCAAGTCCTATAAGAGCCACAGATTTGGGGCTTAGGAAAAATGACTACAACAATTTATATTTGAGAAGAAAGACTGTTTTGGAGTCTCAACTCTTCCTACTAACACCACAAATTATGTTTTGTTTTGTTTTGTTTTACCTTTCATAATTCAATGGAAATAAAATGGGGGAAAATGGAGTTTTTATGGGAAAAAAACAAACCTTAATTGAATCATGAGCAAAAAGACCTTGGTAATAAAGGACAAATCATTTTAAGGAAATTTAATAGATTGAAGTTCTCTTTATTTTAATAAATATTCATTTTAGCATTATTAAATTTTCTCAGAATTAATTAAAAGTATTTCTGGTTATAAGTGCTATTATAAGAATTGAAAATTTCCTGGAAACAGAACAATGTTTGTCAATTAATTTATTTTGGGAAGTTTCAGAATGAGTAGCAAAGGATATTTAATAACAGAATACCTAAAAATATTTCTCCATTTAGCTATCTCTTAACAATAACCAAAAACTTAGATCTCTGGGAAGAATACAGAGACATCCTGTTGCTTGATTTTCATTATATGGTTTTATTTAGTATGCTTTTTAAGAAAATAAAGAGAATTAAAATTGTCACATGACTTAGACTAACTTAACAAAGGGAAAAACAGAAACTACACAAAGGCATTAAAAAATTTAGCAAAGTTTCAAGTATGAGGAGGCTAACTTGGATCTTTCAGGAGAAAATTTCAAAAATATATATTTATTACAAGTCCTAGGTCCCTGACTTCTGATAGTTTTAGCTAAGTTATCCTTCCCAATTTCTTTTTTCTTTTAAAAGTTTTTTGTCATAGGATGCGTGCACTTGCCAGAGAGAGCTAGACAGTGAGAGCAAAAGTGAGAAATCACCCTACAGGAGGCCTTACCACAAATCCCTTCTCCTGCATTCTCCTCCTAGGATTTTGGGCACACAGGCACACATACCTGGTATAATTTTCAAGCTATTGGGTCCTGGACTCATACCATGGTTGGCCATATGGGGATTGAGTACCTTAATCACTATGTCACCTGCTGGCCCCCTCCCAATTTCTATATACATTTCCTGGGTATTTTGGGAGGAGTGGGGCAGGAAGGGCAAAGTGGTTTTTCTGTTTCTTCCTTTTTGCTTTCTAACCCCAGAAATCTAAAGGTTACTTCTAAGATTATTAAAAAAGACTAATTTCCCTAACATGTCATGTAAAATTCAAAAGGCTGTGAGGGAGATAGCAATTGATGGAAACATTACTTAGTGTTCTAAAGGCATAGGTGATGTAACAGGAAGACTATCTGAGCCTGAAAGTTTGGATGTAATTCCATGAAAACCCTCTTATTTCCAGCTTTGGAAACAGACCAAGAACTGTGTGTGCTGCCTCCCAAGCATGCCAGGTCCTTAGATCATACATTTCCAAGTATTCTATTAATTCCTTCTGTTTACAACCTCTAACTTAAACTTCTTTCTCATCCTTTGACATTTGAAAATAATCATGTTCTCCTTAAAACATTTGTGCTTGTAATGAAGTTAATTATCTCTCAACATAAGAGATCCTGAAAAACCAACACCCAGATTTGTAATTTAGTATTAAAGACCTAAATGCTTTTGCTAAGTTGTTTGAAGCAGGTAAATAATATATGGCTTTTTTTTTTTCTAACTCCAAGCTGCCTCAAGCCTTTGAGCATCTTCTTTTTCTTTTTCTTTCTTTCTTTGTTTTTTTTTGTTTTTTGTTTTTTTTTTTTTTTTTTTTTGGGGTTTTTTTTTTTTTTTTTTTTTGGGGTTTTTTTTTTTTTTTTTTTTTGGGGTTTTTTTTTTTTTTTTTTTGTGTGGAGAGGTTTTAGCTACAGGGTGCATGCACTCGCCAGACAGACAGAGAGAGACAGAGAGAGAGAAAGCGAGAAATCACCCCCCAGGGGGGATGGCCACACCATAATCCCTTCTCCTCCATTCTCCTCTTGGGATCTTGGGCACGCACGCACACGTGCCCGGCATGAGTTTTAAACCACCGGGTCTGGGACGCGAACTGCAGTCGACTACGTGGGAGTCCCGCGACATAGCCATTACACTAACTGCTGGTTCCAGCATTTTCTTTATTTTTCTTTTTCCCCCCAGATTTTTGCTATAGGGAGCGTGCACTCACCAGAGAGACAGAAAGCAAGAAATCCACCCCAGGGGGGATGGCCACACCATAATCCCTTCTCCTCCATTCTCCTCTTGGGATTTTGGGCACACATGCACTCACCTGGGGTGAGTTTCAAGCCACCCGGTCTGAAACTAGAACCATGGTCATCCACATGGGAGTCCAGTGACGTAACAATTATACCATCTGCTGGTCCTGCCTTTGAGCATTTTTTGTGACATGAGTATTGTATTGCTTGATTTTAAAATTATTTGTGGTTTTGTTTACTCGATTATAAACTCTCTTG